ATACACGCGAGTCATAATACACCACATAAAGCTACTCATGATTTCAAGCTACCGAATTGAATGCAGTTGCTCAAAATGACCGTCGGGTTGTTACAGCCCAATACTCATTTTCAACAGTCAACAACAACAATAACCATATAAAAATAGCAAAAGGAAAAGTGACTCAATAATATAAGACTCAACTCTATCAGATTAAGATGAAAATAGCATTCTTTCCAAATATAATAGTCAGGTAATCGACTTTAAAGGCATCCACGAGGAAAATATAACTATATGCCTGAATGACAAGTATTCATACCAAAATCAATAAAATCACAGTTTAATCATCAAGTAACGCAATCTCTGCACATACATAGTGACTGGAACAATACCCCTCAATCATACCCTTAGCACACTCATGGTGCCTGGCTCGAAGATCCTAAACCATCACACACACACACACACACTCAACACTGTACGGGTGTCTGGCATAAGCCTCTCACTAAGCATATATCAAGTGTCTGCACTCACGAGATTATACCTGACTCCGGAGGGGTGGATCCTAGCCCAAGTGCTGATTGGATCAAAGTGAACGATCAATATCACTCAGCCTAATATGGGGCCTGACGTAGTGTCCGCTCATAATCAACATCATACTCAACAATCAATGCCACTCATCCCAATATGGGGGACATACGCAAACATCTCCTAACAATCAATACCAGCACAACCATATTGTCCAAGATTAGTCATCAATCCGCTCAAGTCTCAATATGCTCACATCTCGTTGTACCATACTCAAGAATACCACAGGGAATATGCCAACATGCCATAACTCATCTCAAACCCACATCACACAAGTAAGGACACTAACAACATGTGAGATGATATTTAAAGAGTGCATAGAGACTGTGATAAAGTATGCGGATATGATATCATGACTAAAAATATGACTACACTTAAGGAAAATATCTCAACATAGCAAATGTAGTTCTATCATGTCTCAAACAGATAAGTACAAAACCTAGACATGTTTTCTAGATTGAATAATAGCTCACACAGTCATACATGTGGAGAAAATACGGTATCAAAGAGGCATTATAGCAAAATAAATCACATAATAGTCGAAATACTATCCTAATCATGATTTAACCACAATGCATGCATATATGCTCGTCAACTTGCACGTGTGTCACCCCCAACATATAATAAATATCATAGCCAACGAAAAAATCACCCTCAAACTAAGCTTAGTTAAGATACTTAACTCAAAGCGCGAGAATCAATACTCCAAAAATCCGTGCCTCTCAAATTGCCCTCTGAACGGTCAAATATAGCAAAACATAACTCAATAATGTCATAGGAATCAATTCCGAACAATAAAGCTTCGGTCTTTATTTAATTCCCAAAAGTCAAAAAAAGTCAACCTATGTTCGCATTGTAAAAACCTGAGTCAAGGGGTAAATTCTGACTACCCATAACCCCACGAGTTTACATATATCAGTTCTATCCAAATCCGACTTCAAATCGGATTTCAAATAACCATTATTCACTCTCCAAAGGTTAGGACACCCCCCCCCCCCCAAAACCAAATTCCCCTTTCAATCCCATAATATATCTCAAAATATCTATGGGGAAACAAGACCTACCCATGAGTATATATATACATAGGAAAATCTAATAACCTCTAGACTCAATTGTACTCCGGATGAAATAGAGCTTCGACAATCCTCATTTGGATATCAACTCCATCTATGATAATAGCACGTCTAACTGGATACCTAAACCTACATGCATGAATGTAGTGTCCCAATGATGGGACACTAGTACAAAGAAATGTACTAAGTATGTAAGGCACATAACATATGAATAACTGAACTGAAACTGAACTGACATGTATATATGATATACTGAAAGTAGTCTGTTCAATGAAATCCGGGAATCATACTTACCATATTCTGACTCGTAACATATCTACAATATTGAATTATCCAGCTTACCTTACAAAGGATTTAGACTGAAAAGGGAAGGCTCAGTTGGCCGAGAACATCTAATGACACGACTGATGTATATACATCTAATTCGCATCATGATATATCTGAACATGTTCCCATATGCTATATGTACTGGAAACCATCATATTAGTTGCACTTATGTGTTTCATCTATAACATTCTTCTAGGCATAAAACCTTATATCTGAATACTAACCTCACATAGATCAAACATCTCTAGGGCTACACTAAAACATAAAAGTGGCACTTACGCGTTTCAACAAAGACCGTCTGTAAGGCTCACTCAACATGAATAACCAGTGGCTCATACACGCTACATAGTAGACCATCCTTACGACTCACAATACCGAGGTCTGTCTATGCATGCAACTAAGGCCGTCCATAACCAACCTTCATTATGCACATATGTGTTCATAGACCGTCCATAGGGCTTCACTGTAGACCTATGCATTCATAGACCGTCCGTAGGAATCATGTCTTATACATATTCATTTCATATCACTCGTGCAAATATCATTCAGTCATCAATAGATAAACTAGTATTCATAAACATATCTAAGTTCGTGAGTAACTTGTTATAACAACCAATCCTTATTCCTAAGCCGCTTGCTATGTTATCCTTTGTATTCTATATTATTTAGCCATAAGGAACGTTGTAACTATTGTAGAATAGCAATTCTATCCTTATTTCATATCAGGACTCATTTTTTGGGGATTACATGATTCTATCTACTTATAGCTGTGTAATATGCTTAGCTTCTGATGCTACTCGTTATACATATAAATATATATTCATCCATCAATACGTAACAAGAGTTACGGGATTTATGATTTATCAACTTATATTCTTATTGCTAAACTTATCATATTCTATAGTTTACGACTCCATAGGTAACGTATATCGTCTCTTAACATCACCCTCATATATAATAAACCTTACTTAACTTGAGAGCAATGTAACTATCTTCATAGCTCTTTATCAGTTTCGTGAACACAAACGTGTAAGTATTGGAAGTCGTGGCACTCTTTAGGTTGAATAATTCTTATCATTCTGCAAACTATACGTTATGCTACCTTGTTGAACTATTCGTGTATAACTATCCCTCATTATATAGACACTACTCCTTCTGATTTGTTAGACCATTCGTATATAACCTTTAATTGACATATGGACGTCTTGTTACTTATAGAAGACAAGGACCTTTCGGAATGTTCTATTACTTCTTAAGAATACATGGAACTACAACCAACACAATCCATTTCAATATTCGTATGACTACACTCGTGAAGAGACCTTAATCGTCGGAATAGTACGTATACAAAGACTCGGCCCCTTGAATTCCTTATAAGGGCATTGTAACTTACGGAATCATGCCAAAGAGAATAAAGGAAGACCATACATACCTCATTATATCCCATCAAATCCTCAAGCTAACTTAACCTCCAACTCCTATGTCTACAAGCAATGAACAATACTATCATCACAATATGAATGCCATAACTTATTGCATTTGAACGACACATTTTATTCTACGATAAAACAGACAACACCTCCCTTGTTTATATGACTTCCCACAAGTCACAACAACCAACAACACCCCAAACAACATCAACACTACTCATAATAAGCCTTTCAAAAGAGTTTGATAGTCTTGACAAGCGGCAAGCTCGGTTTACGATCAACAAAATAGAGTTCGAATCCAATTTCTTCTCCATGAAGCTGCTTATAATATCAATAATATTATACTTATATTCACCACATCATTTTCAGCCCAAAACATCATAAGAATAAACTTCAAAACAGTCCACACACCTAGCACCTTAACCTTTATCATCAATCACTTATTTTTCATGTTTTCGTCTTCAATAAACTTAATTAACACCTACAAAAGCATAACAACTGCAGCCATAACATAATCAAATTATTTCTCATAATTTTTAGCCACCACAAACCATATATATTTTGCAGTCCAACAAAAAAATAGCAATGCCTCATGTTATTTCAAGTGCGATCTTATGGTTTTTCACTCAACCAACACAACCAACATAAGATTAACATTACGCACAATCAAGAAGATGTTATACATACCTTGGACATCCGCTATAACTCGAAATCTCATCACAACTTAGCTCACAATGGCCCTTAATCACACCACAACATCATAGAAGTATTCTCTTGTAGTCTTTAATACTTTTGTTGATTATTTGAGTTGATTTTCCTTGAGTTTGGTTCTTGGGTCTTGGATACATGTGAGAGGGGGTTTTGCAGAGCTTATGGACGATGTTTGGGTGAGAAATGACCAGAAGTGAGGTCGAAACGTCTTTTAAATGAAATAAAGTTGGTAGCCGCCTCAAGTGGGTCCCAACGGGGCTGTCTGCGCAGTTTTGCAAAAACGCAAATATATATCTACTCCGATGTCGTATCCATGAACGGTTTAATGCGTTAGAAACTAGACTCGTAGATCTTCAATTTTATGGGTAGATCCTCGTAAATCCAAGTATATTAGAGAAACTCTCATTGACATTGGACCCAAAGTTTAGTACAATTTACGTAATTTGTGACGACTTTCGTCGACTTTTGTTTCACAACTCACTTGACTTCAAAACCTAGCACACGAATATTATACGACTAAAACACCTTATAACATTACCTTCTTATCATCTTAAGCACCCAAGTCTCACACCAAAATTACGGGTTATAACATTCCTAACTTGCCGACTTTCGACGAAGCTTATTTTCTTCGATTCGCTTAGCTTTTCAACCTTCCAACCCTCTTGGTACTTACAGTTCATGATCTTAAATATTTGTAACCTCCAAGGTAGCATGATTAACTCACTTTATGTACTTTCAAAGATGATCTCATTTTCGAGCTTACATCAATTGACTTACGACGTACTTTTACGTACGAAAATATGGGGTGTAACACCAACTGTCGCTTCTGCGACACTACATCAGCAACAAAACCTCGCAGATACGGAACCTACTGAAAAACACCTACATGTTGCTTCTACAGCCAATCTTTCGCTCTTGCGTAGCTGCTGGTGCGAAGAATTTGCGCTTTTGCGCATGTGCTCCAGCCCAGCTGCTGGTGCGAAGAATTTGCACTTTTGCGCATGCGCTCCTGCGCTTCCAGCTCCGCATCTACGGACTTCTCCTGCCCAAGCCAAGTTACGCTTTTGTGGACTCCTCCACGCACATGCGAGCTCGCATCTACGGTCAGAGTTCCGCGGGTGCAACACACTAGAACCAAACCTGCCAGTCAACGTCTAAATGGTCTGAAATTCAATCAAAACACTCTCGAGCCACCCGTGGCCCCATCCAATCATACCAACAAGTCCCAAAATACAAACTAATCAAACTTTCACTTCCAAACTCATGTCGAACCACGTCTAATCAACTTGGAATGACCTCAAATTCTGCACACAAGTCATAAATGACCACACAAAATTATCCCAAGGCTCGGAATCCCTAACGGACCTCGATAACCACAAAGTGAACTATGAGTGAAACTTATCGATTCTCTAAACTTTTAAGTATCCAACTTTTGATAATTAATGCAGAAACATCATAGGAACTTCCAAATCCCAATTCGGACATATGCTTAAATCCAAAATCATCATCCGTACCTACCGCAGCCCTCAAAATACCATTTTGAAATCGTTTACTCAAAAGTCAAATCTTGCTCAACTTTTATAACTAAAGCTTCCAAAAACAGAACTAAGTGTTCCGAATCACCCCAACACTTTCCTGAAACCGAACCAACTATCGTTACACTGCATCGATGTTGCACAACTATGGAGATTAGGGAGAGGAATGACTTGCAGAGGAGGTCAGGCGAGAGAAAATACCTGGAGAGCACCTAATCACTACTGAATTTACTCACTCCACTAGTTGGCTATAACTGATTCTGACAGTTTGTGCCAGTTGGCTAACTACAGCTAACTACTTCTTACTACTATCAGTCATTCTAGCATTCCTCAACAAAAATTTCCTTTGCTTTTATATTATAGCGAGTTGTTGTAGATTTGTATACTGATTATGTTCTCATAAGATTCAAAAATTCTTAAAGTCATTTTCTTTTACTCCACCATTAAAGAGAGAAACAAATAAAAGGAAGGGCCGGCGCTGAATAAGCGTTAAGCCTTACTCAACCCCATCAACGCTGGTTCATGAGGTGACAATTCCCTATAACTATATAAGAAGTCAATGTTCCGTCAACTAATGTGAGATAATTTAACAAAAATTAATAAATTCTTCTTTCTTCCTTTTCTCCATGTTTACTGAGTGTAAAAAAGACTAAAAGCTTGAGAATTGGTGACCAATGGGAATCAAAACTACAATACTAAATTATTCTATACGTTTGTAATTAATGCAAGCCCAATCCCAGCTCAGGATCTAAAGGTATACAGCCTTGTTTAGAAGCTGAATTGGGCAAACTTGATAGCTTCATTACTGCTGCCATGCTATTCTCTCTAGATCGTGTTCCATGTGTATTAGTAAACGTACATGATTCTTGGTGAAATGGGAGTACTCGGGAATCTTGATCATAAGAGCTGAAGCTAATATTGGATTCTTCATACAGTGTAAACTGATCAGAAGAATCACAGCACAAATTAGGATCACAGAAATATGGTGAAGAAGTCAAGCCATGATAATTAGCGATATTGTTATTAGTACTTTGAAAAGCTTGAAGATAATAGCTGAGTCTGGCCTTTGTTTCTTGAAGCTGCAGCCTTTTCTTTCTCATCCTTTCCTTTCTGTGAGCATTTTGATGACCTCCCAATGCTTGTGAATTTGAAAACTCCTTTGAACAATAGTGGCACTCAAACTTCTTCTCCGTCGGCTTGTCTTTTGCATCATTTGAACGTTGTTTCTCTCTTCCTGCTAAAATTGTGGAGCATGATGAATTCACACTCTCACGATCTCCTAATTCCCCTTTCAAATATTTTTGACAGGGATCAAATTCAAAACCAAATATTTTATGCCTCTTAATCTCCATGCAGGATTTAGAGAAGGATTCATTTCCTCCAACATTGCATGATGGATGAAAAACAAAAGAGATATCTTTTTCCATATTCTTGATCAGTTGGATGAATGAATTAAGATAAATATTGAAAATCAAAAGAAAAGGACAATGTTTAGGGTGGCTGATGATGCAGTATATTTAGTTCTGCCTCTCTTCCTTATATAGTAGTACTTTCTAAAGTTTCTTGACTATGCATTGTATCTTCAAACAAGAGTAGTTATGTTTTATGAGGATGAATGGGACATAAACGTACCTTAGTCAATATATTTAAGAAAAAAAAAAAGAGAGGGCAAAGAATGGTCAGATTAGTGAAGCTATCTCTCGTGCATTATAAATAATCTTATTCATATAAATGTGGTAGATATATACATCTTAAACCTTTCCTGCCAAAGAGGATTAGTCTGTATGGTTAAAGAATTAATTGGTTCTCTACTTACTCTTAAAATATTTTTATATGGAAAAACATGCATTCATGGTACCACTTGATCAATTAAAAATAAATATTCCGTGCTTGAGGAGAGGAGAATGTTTTAATATAAAATGGGAACAACAGAAGTCAAAGAAAGATATGAGGATGTAATCGCCTGGAAGGACTCTGCTAGAAATCTATCTCTGTACTAAAATTCTTTCTTTAATATAACTTTTATTGACCAATTCATCAGTGGATTCATGCATCATTACTTAACCAAAGCATATAAAATGCCAGAATGTAACTGAATTAATTTAATAACATTCTGTGGTTACCTAGTCCCATCTACCACAGCACCCTGAATTGTGTTCATACAGTGCTGTGATTATTCATCGCTTAAATGAAGGTTCTTTGCAATAATCCACACTCCATTTTATAGATTAAGGAATTGAAAAAAAATGAGGAAAGAATAAGTTTATCTTGACCATGTTAAAGGGAAGCAATTTAATTATAGGAGAATCGTTGCTATGTACAGCGGAATATTAACAAGTGGTTGATGAGGTAAGCATGCTTAGTATATGTATATATGTATAGGGTCTTCTATGAGATCTGGGAATATCTTCTTAGAGAAAACAAACCGTGTAGTTTAATACCCTAAAAGCAATTGATTAATTGTAAGTCATCATCTAATCTTATTCAAATCAATTTAGCAAAAGCATTTGTGTTGGACAATTGTTCACTTTGATTGGTACCCATAACTAATTTCTAGCTCTGGGCCACGTTAGTTTATGTGATTATTCCTTTGTCTATTACTACATCTTCCTTTGTTGGAGAAGAAAAACAACAAATAAACTTTTCATTATCATCAATCCCCATTTCTTTTATTTCCTTTTTCCTTCTACTCTATTTCAATTGCTTTCTCGCTTTAGGTGAAGGATTCAAAATAGGCATGATATATTTAATCCTGTGTTAACTCAATTGCAGGAAATCAACAAGGAATTCGAGGATCGAGCAGCTGTTCAGGAGTTGCAGAAAACTCGAGAAGTCAACTATGGAGTTATAAAGAAGTGTAAAGAGAGAAAAAGAGAGAGAGTTAGAGAGAAATGTAATAGTTCTGATTATGATTTGTAATGAATTACAATGCTATATAAGAATTGAGAGTTGACTACTATTTATTACAACTGAAGGAATCTTTCTCTAACTACCTAACTAACTTCAACTTACCCCTAACTAACTTTTAACTACCAAGTAGACATGGCACTGAGCTGGATTGTTCTTGAGCTCACTGTGTATTTTGTGTATCAATACTCCCTCCCGGAAACGATCCTTAACCACAAGGATCAAAGTGAAGGAACCTAATCTTCAAGGCATTAAAGAACTCTAATGTAGCAGAATCAGCTGGCAACCCTGTCCATTTAACCAAAACCCGAGCAACAACCTTATTTCCCTTATTTACCATCATTCTCTGCAAAATAGATTCTGGCTCAGAGCAATGAGGACTAGCAATGTCATTGGTAGGGGGTAAGTAACTTGTGTAGGTAACTCATAACATTTTTTCAGGAGATAAACATGCACAGTGGGGTGTATTTTAACTGATAGTGGGAATAAGAGGATGTATGCCACAGGGCCTACTTTCATAGCAATCTGGAAGGGTCCATAATATTTGGAAGCCAATTTGTGGAAAAGGTTGTGATGTAATGGTTGTCACGCCCCATTTTCTTACGAAAGCGGGCTTCGACATGTGACAACTCTTTTAAAATGAGTATTAAAAGAGAAGAGTAGCCACCTAACAATTTTTAAGGTGCGTTAGGGGCACCTATTTACAAGTAACTCTGTTTGACTAGTCAACGCCACCAAAGATCGGGTAAGGGCTCAAATTACCTCGGAGAGAAGGTATTAGGCACTCTTCGAGGTCCACAATTGTGGGTCCCGGCCGAATTTTAAACTAAGTGGGATGAATGAAAACTAAATTGCAAGTTAGTAATCTATATTAAATGATGTGAGTCGTCTATTAATTATCCTAAGTGAGATAGGCATGAAAAAGGAGAAAGAACAACTTCTAGCAATAGGTAAAAGAAATGAAGTTTTGTATAAAATGAATCGCACATAAAGCTGTATGAGAATAGTCTAGAATCTCAGGTTTCTATTTCTATTCTTATTAGCGTCACATAAAAGGAGCACATTGGGACTTACACAAGTAACACATAAGGCATGTAAGGGCTCATGTTGGCCTCCGAATTAATTAAGTAATTGTTAATGTAGTAAAAAATGGTCAAGTGTACTCTAAAATATGATAAGTCTTCTTGAATAATACTCATGATATAAGCATACATATAAAGAAGTGATTAGATCTAAAGAAGTAAAAAATATGAAGCAAACGTTGGGCTAAATTAAAACAAATTTCTGAATTAATTAAAAGGAACAGACAAAAAAAGTGAAGGCTTAGAAGCTTCAGCCAAAGACAAATGACAGTCTTTATCTTTTAAAGTGAGCCCAACATACTAGTAAGAAAACATTACTAAGGACCAAGACACCATAGAAAGCTCAAATGCAAAAGCTATCCAATTTAACGTGTTAACATGTTTTCAAGAAGCAATGAAAGCAAACAACAACAGGTAATCACATAGAACACAAGCATGAAATATCCCTTATCCCAAGTAGCCCCATTTCACTATTACATTCAGTTATTACATGCTATCTGAATAGAGCTTATAACTAGAGCCTAGCAAATTAACTAACTGAACTTCAAACTTTGACAGACTCCTCGTAGACTCTTATGAGCTTTCCTAATCCCCCTGTTACTCCAAACTCAGGTCTGAAGAGTTGAACTTTGGCCAAAACTATCAAGTCTAGGCCCCTGCAACCGAACAGAAGCAACAAACGCACAAAGAAGGCAGACAACTTGGACTATTTTCCAAAGAAACAACTTTGCTATTATTAGTTAAAGCATTATTTTCTAAACACATAATCTATAGGTGAATATGTCCAAGTTAAACCAAGTCAAGGAGAAAAACAACACTAGAAACTTCAAATTTGACACAGAAGCATGAATGAATGGCGTAGGTCCTAAAACACATGATATTTAAGTGATTGAATTGAACTCAAACATCCCAGCTTGTAGTATTCAATAGCAAATAATTTCTGTTAAGCATAAAGTCATGATATCAAAATGATTAAAATCCTAATAACATGGTAGCTATTTAGGATAAGTCTAACAGTGAGAAAATAGGCAAATACAAGTCATGACTTTCAAGCAAGAAAAATCCCGGAGTTCATTGTTAAGCATTGAAATCTCAAGCATTAGACATCAAGCTAACTTCCTTAAGTCTAGACAATGGCTATTAGGTGATCGACATGTTCACACTATCTCATTCAAGGATATTGCAAGACGTGATGTCAATTCAAATTCATATAGTTAGACCTAAGAGGTGACTTCTAATGTACAGCGAATCAGGGAACCATACGGGAGGCACAACACATAGCGATTAAGTGACATACCTGGTTATTAACTTGACATGCTCGAAATGGAATGTCGCACAACATTCATCATGTCCAAGTGCAAATACAACTCGCAAATAGAATAAAATAGACGAAAATTTTAAGAGAGTAGAGGACAAAAAAACTAGTCTATTCTACCATACAATTAACACATAAAGAAATTATGATGCGTCGTTCAGGGAACTAACCAGTTGGAGAGCGGAATAACAATATAATATGAAGATTAGAAATCCAGTAACTTCAATAGCAAAAAATAAGCCAGATACTCTCCAAAGTATGCAGTAATACGTGCGAAAATTCAAACAGCAATAAGGAGAAACCAATACTCGAACTCGATACATCCAGATTGTATCAAACTAATTAAAAAAACTAAGCCTTGCCTTGGCTTATGGTCGGCAAAGCATAGAAGTAGCGAAAAGAAAAAAAAACTAGCAGTGAAGCAGAGGTCAAAGCAGTGATCAAAAGCCAGTTCTCTGAAGCGTGTAATTGTGAGCTATATACAGATGTAAGGTATGGAAGTATAATATGTGAGTTGCAGCGATAAACAGAGCCTCTTCCCCTCTAAACCCCCCTAAAACCATCCGTATTTATAATTGAATCCTTTATAGCCGTTACGGTCTCCAATTGAGCTATCAAAATCAGACCCAAACAATCACGGTAGAATTGGAGTCATAGCAATCAAAGGGGATTGGGGTTTCCATTTGAAAAATTAATCGTAGCAGAGTAAAGTCCATCCAAATAAAAGATTTTCACTACTAAAAGATCAAAATAGTATTAAAAATAGAGAAGAATTAGAGCTCTTACCTCATATCCTGTCCAAGTTCATCTAATTAATTTGAACCCACGGATGTTGAGATGGAAAGAAGAACATGCAAACCTTCAATTACGATAATGATTTCGACTAAAATTGAAGCTAAAATCACGGCTCCCAATCACAATTTCTTTACAGATTTGAAGAGGAAAAGAATTAAGGAAAGAAAATTTAAAAAAAAAAGGAAAGAAAAGAGAAAAATAAATAAAGAAATCAAATCAAAGAATTGGGGAAAGGTGTTGGCGAGTTGCTGGCGCAATTGAATTTTAGGAATTCAAAAAGTTATCAGTTTAGAGGCTAAAGGCTATTTAGGGGAATTCGGCTTAATTGATTTTGGGGTTAGGTGTAAGGTTGATAATTGAGCTACTATTAAATTAAAATGACATAATAATAAAGTAATTAGGAATGATAATTAGTAAATAAAAAATAAGATACAAGAAGTTTAAAAAATAAATAATATTTTATATAAATATTTGAACAAGCTAAAGAATAAATTGTAAATTCTTTTATATTTTAAAAGCTGCTACTATGTAGTAAAAACAAATTATAAAAGATGTACCAACAACAACAACAACAACAACAACAACAATAATAATAATAATAATAATAAAGTTGTAGTACTTATTATAATATATAAAAAAATGCTTATAAATATTATTATGGCTCTTAAATAAAATAGTAGCTCATTAGCATAATATGGAGTAAGGATGGATAAAATTGGGTGTCAACAATGGTCACTTGTCTGTAAGGTTGAGCCTTGAAGTATATCCAATCTCCCCACTTCAAAATTCTTGTCACCTCTATGATTGTCGGCTTCAGTTTCATTTCCTGAGTTGAGCTCTCAATAGGTGATGCTACAATAATTGGAGCTTCATCTCCCTATTAAGTAAGGTGTTATCAACCTCAGTGGAAGCTGATTCTCCTGGTAAATAGGGCAAGTGAAGTGGTGGTGGCCTGCCATAATGTGCCTCATAAGGTATAGTTTTTAAGGTCGTGTGGAAGGAAGTGTTATACCAATACTCAGCCATGTCTAAATAGGAATACCAATCTGTGGCTTCTTCAGAGCAGAAATATCTTAGATATATCTCTAAGCACCTATTTGGGACTTCCGTTTGGCCATCTGATTGAGGATGATAAGTTGTTGAGGTATTTAATTGAAATCCTTGAATTGCAAATAACTCCTGCCAAAAGGTGCTTAAAAATACTGCATCTATGTCATTCACTATGAATCTGGTAGTCCATGTAGCGTAACGACCCAACCGGTCATTTTGAGAATTAGCATCCTGTTCGGCGGCTCAAGGTCTCGAGAAACTTCATGTTATGTGTTATGACTTGCATGTGTGGTCAAGTTCAATTTTTGGATGATTCGGGATCAATTTGAAAGAAACATTCTTGATTTAGAAGCTTAAGCGGTAAGAGTTGACCGGAGTTTTAACTTGTGTAGACGACTAAGAAATGACATTTTGATGATTACAATAGCTTCGTATGGTGATTTTGGACTTAGGCTTGCGTCAAGATTTGGAGGTCCATAGGATAATTTGAAGCATTTCGGCGAAGATTGGAAAGTTGAAGTTTTGGAAGGCTGAGAGGTTTGACCGGGAGTTGACTTTGGTGATATTGGGGTCGAAATGCGATTCTTAGAGTTGGATTATCTCCTTTATGTCATTTGGAACATGCATGCAAAATTTAACATCATTACGGGTTGATTTGATATGTTTCGGCATGCGTTTTGGAAGTTGGAAGATTTGACAAATCATAAGTTCGATTTGAGGTGCAATTCGTAGTTTCGGCGTTATTTGATATGATTTGAGGCCTTGAGTAGGTCCGCATCATGTTATAGGACTTGTTGTTATATTCGGACGGGGTCCCGAGTGGCTCGGATGAGTTTTGGACGAGGTTCGAATTCGTTTCCATGTTTTGGCAAGTCTGCTTCTGGTGTGTCGCACCTGCGCATTTTTGGAGTGCAGGTGCGGAGCCGCTTTTGTGAAGTTTCTGTCGCTTCTACGATGTTTCATCCTGGTAGGAAGCTTCTCTTTTCCGGAGTTTTTGTCGCAGGTGCGATTGCCGCTTTTGCAGCCTAGTGATCGCATATGCGAAGATGTTCGCTTTTGCGGCTCTTTTGGCGCTTCTACGCTGTCGCGGGTGCTGCTGTGTAAAAATCTTTCAAAATATAAAATGAGGATTTGAAGGGCGATTCGATATCGGAATTTGATATATTATGTATGGCTGGACTCATATCGGAATGGGTATTCGAATTTTATAAATTTTATCGGGTTCCGAGGTGCGAGCCCGGGGGGTTGACTTTTGAGTTGACTTTTTAGATTTAATCAAAGATCAAAGCTTTATTATCCGAAATTATTTTCCATGAGTTTTATTTATGATTTGAAGTTATTTTGGATAGATTTGAGCCATCCGGAGGTTGTTCCACTCTAGAAGGTCATTTTAGAGTATCGGTCTAGCTTCTTTGAGGTAAGTATCTTGCTTACTTCGTGTAGGAAACAACCCCTTAGGATTTGAGTCATTTGTGCTAATTGTGTCATGTGAAAGCCGTGTACGCGTGGTGAAGAGTACGTGCCTTAATTGAAGTTGGAATTAATTGATTTATGTTTTACCCTTATTGCCAATTAAACTCTTACGTGCCTTAACTGAAGTTGTTGCCTCTTTTATTCCATGATATCTCTTCCGTAATTATTTAACCTTAATTGAAGTTATTATTATCTATTTCGTACTTATTTAACCTTAATTTGAGTTATTATTATCTCTTTCGTAATTTCTTAACCTTAATTAAAGTTATTATTATCTCTTCTGTAATTGTTTAACCTTAATTGGAGTTATATTATCTCTTCTGTAATTGCTTAACCTTAATTGAAGTTATTATTATCTCTTCCGTAATTGCTTAACCTTAATTGGAGTTATTATTATCTCTTTCATTGTTGACGTATTCTTATTTGGGGTCATTGATTCATGCTCTCTCTCTCTCTCTTATCGTCGAATTGTACGTTTGTGGAATCGTTCTTACACATTATCTATCCCTTGTTGAGCTATTCTTGTTGATACCATTATTCCCTGTTGTGTCTTTTTTTGTGAGCTCGTTCTTCCGTTTCTTTGTGTTATGGAGTTCTTGTGTTGATTTATTTTTTGTACTCTCAAGTTATTGTTGTTGTTGATGTTGTACTCAGTGTTGTTGAGCCGAGGGCTATGCATGGTTATGGTGTTAAAACTATTTTGAGGAAATATTGTGGCATATGGGCACATGTTGTGAAAGTCATCTTATTGTGTTGTTATGTTTTGGCACACATGGTATTGTTGAGAGGATTGTCGGGGTGTTTGCACGTGAGTTGTCCGTGTTATTGTTACTATTGATATTTGCACATGCGACATGACAAGGCGGGCTATATATGTGGTTTTGCGCATGTGACGAGACAAGGTGGGAATATTATTGTGCGCGTGCGGCGAGACAAGGCGGCCATTTACTTTATTTTTGCTCACATGGCGAGACAAGGTGGGCTTCGTCGGGGAATGATTTGTGATGACTTGTAAAATCCTGGGGGCATTGTTATTGTTGTTATTGTGTAGTGGTATGCCTACCTTGTGTGAGTTATATCGTGTACATTTTGTGGTGATCGTTTCTTATGTCTCATTTATTGTCTCTACTCTTACTTGTTGACTTGAATTGTGGTAGGACACTTGCACAAGCATACACGTAAATAAATCACCCATATTGGTTTAAGAGGATGAATCCTGATGTTATTGAACATTTACATGTACTCTCGTGTACTTGCCTTCTGTGTGAGAGTTATCCTGTTGGCATGTAAGTTGTCTGAGCAGTAAAGAGTCATTGTTATTGTTGGCATGTGAGTGGTCCGTGCGGATATTATATATTGTCACTCTCTTGGCACGTGAGTCGTCTGTGCTGTTATGAATTATAATGTGGGCAGAAGATGCCAAGTGATTAGGGTTCACAAATTAGGATCCGTGATTTGTGATTTTGAGGTTTGGTACCTCGTGAAAATTCTTGGATAAGCCTGGTGTGATAGCGGTTGTTCTTATTGAGTCTTTACTTATTTTCCTTGATTTTGTTTCACCGGACTTAAACTGTGTTCAACTTACTCTACAGAGTTATTACCTGTTGTGTCTCGCTGCTAACTGTTGCTTTTAGTTCCTATTACAAACATTGTATTATTATTGTCATCATGCCTAGCTTTATATTGATATTTTTTCATGTTAGTTCTACAATTATACTTATTTAGGTTGTTTAGTCTAGCGGGTGTCTTAACTGTTCCTCGTCACTACTGTACCGAGGTTAGTCTTGATACTTAATGGGTACCGCTGTGGTGTACTCATACTACGCTTCTGCACATATCTGTGCAGACCCAGGTGCCTCGAATGTTGTTGATTATTAGCTAGCTGGTTGAGCATTACTCTGGAGACTTAAGGTAAATCTACCGTCGCATTCGCAAGCCTCAGAGTCACCTTCTAAAACTTCATCTTGTACTGTTTATTTCTCTTCCGTAACAGTTGTATTTAGAGATTTTTTAGTAAACTCAGTAGAGCTTATGGCTTGTACTACCGGTTTTGGGGTTGTATGTTTTGTATAGAGATTTCTATTTCATATTTAACTGTTGTTGGTTGAATATTTGCTATTAATTCAGTACGTGTTAGTCTAATATAGTCTCTAAGACTAGGGTCCATCACGACATCCTACAGAGGGAAATTGGGGTCGTGAAAAGTTGGTATTAGAGCTCTAGGTTCATAGGTGCTACGAGTCATAAGCGAGTTTAGTAGAGTCTTGCGGATCGGTACAGAGGTGTCTGTACTTATCTTCGAGAGGCTACAGTACTATAAGGACAGTTTCACTTCTTTCATTCCTATCGTGTGAGTTTATTGATCTCGGCGTTTGAGCCTTTGTCATTCTATTCTCTCACACATGGTGAGGACACGAGCTGCAATTACTGATGACGTTTTCCCCTGAGCCAGTGTTGCTAGGGGCCGGGGCAGAGGCAGAGGCCGAGGAGGATCACGTGCCACAGCTAGAGCACCTATCAGAGCAGTAGTTGAGGAGCCGCCAGTAGCTCCGGTTGGGGGATAGGTACTGGAGGAACCTGTTGCTACCTCGGGACTTTAGGAGACTTTAGCACAATTCCTGAGAATGTTTGGTATATTGGCTCAGGTGGGGTTGATTCTGGTTGCACCAACTACTTCATAGACCAGGGAAGGAGCTCAAATTCCCACTGCCCGTACTCCAGAGCAGCGAGTCCACGTTGGTCAATCTCC